TTTTATTTTTTATTTTTTGTTTTATTTTTTATTTTATTGTTTTTATTTTTTTATTTTATTTTTTATTTTTTGTTTTATTTTGTATTTTATTGTTTTTATTTTTTGTTTTATTTTTTATTTTTTGTTTTATTGTTTTATTTTTTGTTTTATTTTTTGTTTTATTTTTTGTTTTATTTTTTGTTTTATTTTTTGTTTTATTTTTTGTTTTATTTTTTATTATTTTGTTTTATTTTATTTCATTTTTTATTTTTTGTTTTATTGTTTTTATTGTTTTTATTTTTTATTTTTTGTTTTATTTTTTATTATTTTGTTTTATTTTATTGTTTTTTATTTTTTATTTTATTTTTGTTTTGTTTTATTTTATTTTATTGTTTTATTTTATTTATTTTATTTTTTTATTTTATTATTTTATCTTTTTTATTATTTATTTTATTTTTATTTTATTATTATTATTTATTTATTATTTTATTTTGTTTCTTTTTATTTTTTATTTTTTATTTTTTATTTTAGTTTATTTTTTATTTTTTATTTTTATTTATTTTATTTTTTCTATTTTTTTTAATCTTTTTATTTTTTATTTTTTGTCAGGTTTTCTTTCCCCTTTTTGCTTTTCTTTTCCTTTTTTTATGTGTTTTTTCTCCCTTTTTGCTTATTTTTTGGCCTTTCTATTCTTGTTTCTTTTTTTGTTGTATTTTTTGCATTTTGTTTTCTTGTGATTTTTCACTTTCCTGATTTTTTATGTTAGTTTTTGGTTTTGGTTTTTTTTTTCCCTGTTTTTTTTTGTGTTCTTTTTTCTTCTTTTTTTCATTTTTTTTCCCTTTTCTGTGTTTTTTTGTTTTTGCTGTTTTTTTCTTTTAATGTGTTTTTTGTTGTTTTTTTGGAGGGGTTGTTTAGTGGGATTTTTTTTTTCCTTTTTTGTTTTTTGTCAATTCAGGGTTTTTTTTTTTCATTTGTCTTCTTGGTTTTTTTTTTTTTTTGGTGTGGGTTTGTGAGTTTTTGTTTGTTTGTTTTGTTCTTCTGTGGTTCTTTGGGGCTTCTTTTTCTTTCTTTCCTTGTGTTTTTGTGTGTGTTGGTTTTTTGTGTTTTTTTTTTTTTAATGTTCCTTGATTTAATTTTTTTGTTTTTGGTTTTTTATTTCTTTTTTTTGATTTTTAATTTACTCTCTTTCACTTATCTTTTAGATTTTTTCTACTTTTTACTAGATTTTATTTACTTTTGTTTTTTACAGGCATTTTTAATTTTATTTTTTTAAGTAAAATATTTTTTCAAATAATTAAAAAAATTAAAAATTGAAAGTTTTTTTTGTTGTGTATTTTTTTATTCTTTCTATTATTATTATTTTTCCATACCTATTGGTTATTAAGACCTTATCATACATAGATCTAAATTTCTACAGGTATATAACTTGTAAAACAGAAGTATCCTTTACTGCTAATGAAAATCATTTACTGTCCTCTTTGGGGCCAGAAGCGAGGTTATTCCAATGCAAAAGTGTTGGTATAATGCAGAAAACAGTGAGCTATTCTCTGGGAAAATCCATTCTGAAAAGTGCATCCTGCTGTGGGCATTCTGGGATGTCACCTTCAGAGGCACCAGATCAATATGCTTAGCAGTGCCCATCAGCTCCCACATCTCACTTGGTGAGATTGCCATCTAAGGCTTTACACTGCCAAGACTTCGGAAGCAGGAGGGGTGGGAGGGGAGGCATACATTTCACTCATCCATGCAATTTAGTACGATGGATATTAATAAACTCACACTTATCCGTGGCACATTGGACCATGTCCTAGGCAAGGGTCTGTCTGTTAGGACAACAAACCTAAAGGCAGGACCCTGCACTCTGCAACTGCCCTTGGTTACCTGCTTCTGGGGAAGGGAACCTGCAGAGGTGGAAGGCCCAGGGGAGACGTTGCTTTTACTCCCCATATTGCATGGTGCATAGTAGAGGTAAGTTCAGAAACAGGCTTTGAAATTTTTACTTTATTTTCACATTATATATATAATATATATAATAATAATAATAATAATAAAAACGAACCTGCAACTTTAAAACAAAAAATTCTGGAAATTTACACACAAAACAACAAATATATATATATAAACCAAAGCTTTTGCTTCAACAACACTTCTAGCTCACAAGAATATATCAGCCCTCAGGCAGCGACTTTGCTGCTTGCTGCATGCCTGCTGCATGGCTCCTGCTTAACAGCAGAAGCAAGTGGGTGGGCACAACAGGGACATTTCTTCTTATGCAGGGCAAACCTCAGGCCCTGAGCTGAAGAGCTAGAGAAATAGAAGGGTGCAGAGAGAGTAGAGCACTAACCCTACATAATTAAGAGCAAACAGAAGCTATGATGTGTGTGTGTGTGGGGGGGCTGATGTTTCTAGGAAGAAAAAAAATGCAATTGCAGGGTAAGCAGTGGGACAGAGCTACTGCAGCGTAAGCTCACAGCAGGTGGGCTGCCCTTTTCCCTTCTCCATCAGGGTTCTGCCCCACTATATATATATATATATATATATTAGTATAAAGCACTATATATACTATATACCACTGAAGCACTATATATACATATATATATGTATATATATATGGTGTTTTTGGATTATTTTAAATGGGGCAGGGCTGATATTCCTCAGCACAAGAAAAAGCTGAGACACCACTGACTCATCCTGACCTAACACTCCTCAGCTTGAAATCTCAGGGCAAGGTGGGGCTCTGGGACCCACTGCTTCTTGCAGCCATACAGGTATCTAATGGCAATATAATGCCTAAGGCCAGGGGGAAAGGGACACCCTCCCCCTCACTAAGCAAGGCTCCCTTACTAACACTACACCATAACTTCAAGTGTGTGTGCCATGGGGTATGTATTCATGACCTCTAACGACCCTTTCTCCTCCTGTCCTTCCCATGGGATCACAGCTACCTCCTAAGGTAGCCCCAGCAGGCATGGGGCTACACCCTCCAGACACAAACAGCCCAAAGGAAAAAAACAAAGAACCAACAACACTGCTGTGTCTTCAAAGCAGCCTGGCAAATCACGCTGCTCACACACCTCCCTTAACTTACCTGCCCACTGCCTCCTCTAAGGTGATCAGGATATCTCCATGATATGCACACCTTTGCCAGGTTTCCAAGTGAGTTTAGGCTAAAATGCATCACACCCTTTCCCACTCTTGTACAGAACAGGTTTACTGATAAAGGCTCAAATCCTTGCAGCAGGTAGCTTAATGGGCTTTTTTTTCTAGCATCGCCTATGACTTCTCTGCAGTAGTAAGTGAGTCCAAGTTTGCTGCTGCTACGTCGAGAGGTGATGCGCAGTCAGTTGGGGAGGATGGTGCTCCATGGGTCGCGGGCTCAGTGTCGCGCTGTGGGAAACGTCTCTGGCCGCGTGCCCCAGCACTGGAGCAGGGTGGGACAAGGCAATCCAAGAGCAGGAAAGGGCTGAAGGCAGAAAGCACTTAGTAGATTCTCCTCACTAGTTTCTCAGATCGATGTATTTCTCGTTCTTCAATCCACCGACAAAAAAAAAAAAAAAAAAGGCAGTTAAGGGTGAGAAAGAGGAAGAGGGTCAAGAGGGTCTCTACTGCAGGTGTCCATGTGGCACACAGCAAGGCTACAGAGAAAGTCACCAGTCCTAGATCATATGCCAAAAGAGCACTAGCCCTGGGGGAAAAGGGCAGCAAGTGAGAGACATGTACCTGGTGGTGGGCCTTTCTTGGCTTAAGGCCAAAAAAAGAGCAGCTGGCTTAGGTGCTGCATCTTGTGGCTCAGCAGGACACGCTAGCATGGAAAGCCCTGCCCTGGCATATGAAACATTGATGCCAAAAGCACAACTGCAGCCCATTCTTGCATTCTCCGCTCTTGCTGCTGGCCAGATAACATTCCTGCAGCTCCCCTCCACCACGACCGCTCGCAAGCACTGAAGATGAGTGATGAAGGCCCAAGCAAGGTTGGGAGTGCTGGAACAGGAGCTTGCAGAGAGGAGAAAGGATTTACCTGGACACAGCCCCTCTGTGCTCCTCAGCTCCGCTCCTACCCGCGGATCGGCCCCAGCCCTGGCCAAGGGCAGTGCACATCGGTCTGTCCTACCTGGTCAGCAGCAGGTCTCTTCTCGCCGTGGTTGGCGCCCTGCAGGAGCCCCGCCTCTTCGGAAAGTTTATCTGACTTAACTTCAACTACAATCTTGTCTTTACGCGCCTCTGGCTTTGTGCTAGGGGAGGGAGGTGACAGTTTTGAGACATGTTTGAGACACCGAGGAGGGCATGGGGCCAGCTGAGCGAGGCTGAGCCCTGCAGCTCAGTCTTGGGGATGCTCTGGAGCAGAGGGAACAGGGCTCCAGCTCAGGGGAAATTCAGGTCACCCAGCCCTCAGTTGCTCTACCACTCTGCTCTTTTCCTCATGGCCTCCCTGCAAGGAAGGGGGGAGCTATGCAGACCCCCAGGCTGTGAGAAGTTCCAAGTGTTGCTGAGCGCCCAGCGCGTGTGTCCCCCCACAACGTGCTGCCCCGCTGCCTCCCCCTCCTTCAGCTGGCGAGTGGTGGATGTGATGAGATGGGAAGCATAAGCGATGACGAGCACCTCCAGCCCAAGAATGACTAGCAGGGGGAGAGGCAGTGCTTACATGTCCTGTTTGCCAGCACGGCCACATGGGATCTTCCCTTTCTTATATAAGAAGTAGATGACAGAACCCAGGACAGCCACCACAAGGACGGAGACGATGATGGCGACGATGATCACACCCTTGCTCTCTGGCATCTTGTGATCTAAACACAATAGGAGAGCAGGAGGTGGTTAAACGTGTCCTACCCAGATGCTCTATATTGCTGCCCCTCCTCAGGTGCACAGTAAGGAACCCCCGTCTCCCCAGAAAGCACCATGAGAGCTCCTGGGCTCTGCTCCCCATGCTGCCCCATCTCGCTGCAGAACGCAAATGGAGGCGCAGATCTGTTCTGCTCATGCATTTTCTGCACAGCCAATGCACAGTGCATTTCCTCTGCCATACATGCTCTAGGAGCACAGCTCACAGGGATTCCTGGCAAGACATCACGTCATCCCTTCACTTCCTAGCTCAGGAGGCCTGAGCTGCAGGAAGCCACGTGCACTACTCCTACCAAGCTACAGGGCAAGCAGGCAGCTTGTACACTGCTGTGCAAACAAGCAGAGACAGAGGATCCATTTTCCACTCTGTCAAACTGGGAGAGGAGAAATGGCACGTGCAGCACAAGAGCCAGCAGACAAGGCTCTGTCTCCTGGCAAGGCACAGGTGCAAGCTCTGCTCGTGGCACATTTCCACCAGAGCCGTCAGGAGGCCACATGCACCCGTCACAGTGCAGACTGACCTTTCCTGATGCTCTCCACTGGCGTGGCAGGCAGGGAGGGAGAGAGAACCGCTCAGCTGAACCACAACATGGTGGCTCTGCTGCAAAGGGTCCTAGCCCCTCTCCAGGCCCCCACAAGCAGGTGGCCAAGGGGAAGAGCCCAAGACTCACCGAGCAGCTGGATGTGCTTCTCACTGGTGCCCAGGGCATTAGTGACCCTGCACATGGCTCCTGCCTGCAGTAGGTTGTGGTCCACACGCACTGTCAGGTTGCTGGCGATATGCTGATTCTCCATGTACTCGTGAGTCTGCAGCAGAGGGGAAGCAACAAAGCTGTTAGTGCCTGGTGCAACACACATCCCCTTGGAGAGGCTGTGACCCACAGCCAGTTCTCACCGTCCCATTGATGTTCCACTGCACAGAGGGCTGGGGGAAAGCGATGGCCTTGCAGGTTAGGTTCACCACCTCATCCTGCCGCACGTAGAGTGGTGAACTGATGGACACAATCCGGGGCTTCCCTACAGAGAGGGCACATCAGCACCCACGGCTCACAAAGGTGACAAGGATTGACCCCAGAGTCTGCACGCACTAGCTCTTACCCTGGACAGCCACAGCCACCTGCTTGCTCTTCTCCAGCCCCGGCACACTCTGTGCAGTCACCTTGCAGCTGAAGTTGCTGGAGGTTTCGAAGGTGAGGTTGCTCAGGACAAGCTGGTTGCCTTCTGCAACTTTCTTGCCCTGTGAAGGAGGTAGGACCCACGACACTCCAACTATGATCAATTAGCCTCAACTACGACCCTTGAGTGCTCCCTTCCTGCGGCTCTGCAGGCAACCCAGGGACACCCAGTGCTCCCTCAATACACAGCAAACGAGCTTGCAAGACACCAGATCTCTCTGGGGTACCACAGAGGCAAACGCATAGATGGGCACTGCAAAGCAGAAACTCATCCTTGCCCTCGTAGGAAGAGTGGTCCAAGCTCCTTGCTCCAGCCGGCTTGGTGTGAAAGCCCTGCAGTGCCTAAATGTCTGCTCACCTTTGCATCCCTCCAGTGGAAGTCCAGGGTCACAGGACTATCAGCACTGCAGCTCAGCGTCACACTGTCCCCTTCCCCAAGTGGGGAAGATGGCTCCATCTTCACGCTGACCCCTTCGATATCTAGGGGAGGATTGAAGGTGGTGTTAGAGCAAGCAGAAGGGCTGGAGGATGCACCCGAAGAAGTGCAGCATCCCACTCCCCAATGACTTACAGTTCACAACAAGCTCCACATCTTTCTCCAGCTGTTCCATATCATCCAGGTCAAGGGCCTGGCACCTGTACAGACCACTGCTGCTCTTGTTCACATCATGTAGGTTCAGCACCCCACTATTGGCATCTGCTAGCGATGACAGGTCCTGCCAATTGTCCTCCAGCTACAAGCATAGGGGAGAAAACATTGCTGTTATCCCCACACAGGCCCCCTCCATCCCAAGGTCTGCATCCTGGTCTGGGCTGGGTAAAAGGGAGGACAGGATGCAAGATGCCCATGAAAAGAAGAGCAGAGGGCTCTGCTGCCCCTCCAGCCTCACCTCTCTCTTGTAGAAGCTGAACATGGGCGCCGGGTTCCCATCAGCCTTGCACACCAGCTGCACGTTGTCGCCCTCCTTCACAAACGCCGGGGATGGCAGGACCAGCAGTGTTACGTGCTCCGCAGGGTCTGGGAGAGCAGGGAGCAGGGCGAGTGCTACAAGGCCACCACGTACTCCTGCAGCCTGGCTCCGGCCCCCCAGCCCCAGACTCACAGAAGACGTTGACACTGACGTTCTGTGACTCCATGGTGCGCTGCTGCCCCGACAGCCAGTAGTGCACGGCGCAGTGGAAGAGGGAGCTGCGGTCCTCCCGCGTGACAGATGCAAAGAGGCTGCTGCTCACCGTGTACAGCCAGCTGGACTCACGGGTCACTGTCTCTGAAACTTTCACCTCTGCAAGGGAGGAAGCGGCTGTGCCCGGGGCAGAGAGGGACTGCGCACCAGCAGGCAGCATGTGCAGCTGCAATCCCCCCCAACCCCGACTCACTGTTCTCCTCCGTGTGCAGCTGCTCCCTGTTCTTGTACCAGGTGATGTTGGGGGGTGGAAAGCTGTTCCTGCTCACGCACGTGGCAATCTGTGAGGGCACAAGAGGGTCTGGCAATGGGGTGGCTACTAATCCCCTTGGCATGCGGAGGAGGCAGAGGGGAGCCCTTGCTCTTGCCCTGCATAGGGCCCCTCCTCACCTGCGGGAGGTGTCTGCTCTTTACAGAGACGCCGCCTTTGTTGGCCGTGATCTCCGGAGCCTCGGGGACTTCTGCAAAGAGCAGCCACCCCCTCAACATTAGGCAGGCCAAGACAGGCCCCATGCAGCACAGCCGCTCTTGCCCCGGTACTCACTGTACACGTGGAGCTCGGTGCGGTTCTCGCCGGCACCGTGGTCACCAGCCTCCACCTGGCACACGATGGGCCTGGCATCCTGCACAGTGACACGACTGATGGAGAGGGAGTTGTCCTGGCCCACAGAGAGCCGCCCCTTGTAGCTGGTGCTGTCCTCGAGGAGCTCACCGGGCAGCACAGAACACAGTTTCACCCGGTTATGCCGCTCGACCTGCATGGACCGAGGCTGGGATGAGCAAGGGCCTGGCCAAGAGCTCCCAGCTTGCCGCTGTCGCCCTGGCTCTGGCTGGCTGCTGTACCCCACATCTTGCCAGCTGGCTGGGCACTCACATAGAACCAGTTGATGATGGTGTAGGAACCATTTCCAGGGATGGAGAAGTTGCACTCAATTCGGGCTGTTTCTCCCAGCTCCACCTCGACCACGGGCGGCACGGACACCTCCACCTTGCCGGCAGCAGCTGTGGGGCAGAGGACACCAGAGTGGCTGGGGGAGCGCGGG